CCAATCCATGTTTACATTTTGTGTTGGATTGCAAAATTCTCCTGTCACTTATACAGTATCATCATCCTTAGAAACATAAATTTTTACTTCCATGCTCATGTTGTATGCCTTTGTATTTTTTTTCCTACGAACAAAAATGATTTAAATTGTGTTATGCACAAATTAAAGTTTTGGCACAGTCTTAAATGGTTTGCTGTTTTAACTTTAATGAGTCCAAGACTTCAGTGGCATAGAAATTTGTAATAAATGAAATCAGATAGTCAGACAACCAATGATGTAAATACTCCCCCTTCACAAACACACACACCACACATACATACATTTTTCAGTTGCTTTTTCATTTATATAACATACATGTTAGGAATTCACAGAAACAAGGTTAATCATAGCAAGTTGTTAAATACATACACACACACACAAACTGAGGCCTACATTCATATAAATTGTTTTACAAATTTGGTAGAAGCTATTACAAGGTACTATATATTCTGTCGATTACTAGTACAACACAGAGTCCGAAATTGCTTAAAAATTAAGAACAAAATAAGAACAAATTGAGGCTGAGGTAAAATTTCAAATGAGGTTTATATTTTTAAAAACCAAAATATTTTATCTGTACATTATGCGAGTAGGTGTGACTGTAATACCCTCTATAATGCAGTACAGTAGGTGACGGTACCTATCTGATGGGGAAAATTGTTTGTGGGGTCGCTTTCATCTACATTCCAGTACAGTACTGCCATACAATTAAATAATTTTTTGTTTAAAAGGTGTGTAAACCAAGAGCAAAATAAGAACATTTTGAGCCTGAAATCTGCCAAAAAATAAGAACACCTAATGGCCTAAGGTAGAGATATAAGTTTTGGGTTTTTCTATTTTTTTAAAATAAAAAAACCTCATTGACATTTTACCTCAACCTCAAATTGTTCTTATTTTATTCTTAATTTTTAAGCTTTTTCAGCCTCATTGTTCTTATATAGTGTGTTCTTATTTTTTTTAAAGTGTATTTCTGATTCCTCAGTCTGTTAGGTTCAATTTACTCTGGTCTCACCCTACCTCCTCTACTAATCCATATGTTTATCTATTTTTATTTGTTCACCTCACTTTAAATATTTAACCTTATGTTTCCAAGACCAGCTCAAAATATTTTATCCAAAGAAAATATTTCATTAGGCTACAAGATAAATACAGGACAGTGACCAGCTCAGTCCTTCAGGATAGTCACCTTGTAGATCTAATAATGTTTAGTGCATGGTGTAAGTCAGCAATAAAAAGTCAAAATACTAAAAACTGTGGGTAATGATTGCTGGATCTCAAATGGGATACAAAATGGTTAGAAAAAGCTGAAATTTAATCATACATTACATTTAAACTGTATGAATAATCAAGTTTGCTCAGTCAAGAAAGAAGGGATAGAATACCTTAGGATACCACCATGTAAGACAATGGTAAACTCATTATTCCATTAGTGGTAATTGTTAGTCTAAATACAGACATTATGATGTCATTTAGGTACCATGGTAGGGCCAGTCCAACAAAGAGGGCAATGAAATATGGGATTTGAGATAAATGGTCAAAATCACAGAGAGCATGACATTTATTTTAATTATATGTTATTGTAAATAGTAATAACAGTGTTCAAATTCCTCTACTGTCTAAATTTCAAATGTACAGTGGTATGCATTGGTGTACGGTAAGAATGGCCCCGAAAAAAGGGCCCCGGAAAAAATGGCCCCGATAAAAATGGCCCCGATAAAAATGGCCCCATATGACAGGTAGGTAAAAATGGCCCCAATGAAAAATTCTGTATTAAAGCTGATTTTCTTGAGTCAATATATGCATTTTTTTATCTTAAATAATTTAGTTTTTAAAAGGAATCTAACAAATTGCCATTTACATTAATTAATATTTAATTACATTAATATTCAATGATAAAATATTCAAAGAAAAACAAAAAGCCATGAACTACACTTTTTAATTTTTTTTCCATTTAAATGTTAAAAAATAGCAACAACATAATCAATAAATCAACATAAATCATGCATTTATTAATACTAAAATAATTTACTTGTGGCCGATTTCACGGAAGCGGAATCACAATTTTCCAGAAATTCAATCTGTGTATTTTCCAGAAATTCAATCTGTGTATTGGTAAACCCCAAAACAGTGGGTTAGTATGAACATCAAATTATTTTTTTTTAAAGAAAAAGAGAGTTCTGCAATCATAATTATATGGTTTACATGGGGTTTGCAGTGTGTTTAGAGATTTGTGGTGTATTTGCAAGTATTTTTTCATTTAAAAAAATCTAAATTTTAACCAAAAAATAGTTATGAATGTATTTAATTTTCTTATTGATATACCAAGTCAGTCAATCACAATTGAATTGTTTGATTTTCTACAGTGTGTTTTGGGAGGTTCGTGGGATTTAGCAATACCACTTAATCCTACCATAATCACCCTACCCTCACAATCACACGCCATTTTAATTCTTAGCATAATTGCCATACATAACTATATATAATTCTAAGCCAGTAGTGGGCACTTGGATTTAGTTAGTGATGAGTAAAAACCAAGTATGCAACTAAATTAGTTGCTTAAATAAATGTATTCCTAATTATTCAGTTTACTAAAAGCAACACTTCTTTGAATAAACTCTAAGCAGACAATTTATTGCTAAGTTTGCGAGAAAGTAAGGCTCTCCCTTTTCCCATACATGAACTTGTGATTCAAACACACAATTGATCCACATGCTTTAACTACTGTTTATTTGCATTGTTTATAACATGTAAAGTTAATTCATTTGATATTTAACAAAAGTGAAGTTTGTGGTTATCTATGAATTGCATATTTTGGTAGTTGAAGTACTGTATACTGTATGCCATTCCTCTACTTTGTTAGTGAAATAACGTTTTTAAAACTTTTATTTCTACTATCAAAAAAATGTTATTCAATGGCCATTGTTTTTCGATTATCTCTCAGAACATTATTTGCATCTGCTGTAATTGTTAAAAAACAAATGCTTTTAAAGAAATAAAAAAAATCACATAT